ATACGTATTTAGTTGTATAATAATTTCTCGGTTTGCACGAGCAACGTAGTCAAAGAAAAACAACGTTCCGCAGAGAATAAGAGTAAATAACTATCAAGTATAGTTTCAAAGGTGTACGGTGTAAATTGTTGCATGATATTATTTTCCCATAGTATATTCTTAATCTTCTATCCGATTGTACGAGTGCTTGTTGTATCGTATACACACGAAAAACTACCAATTGGCTATTATACCCTTGCACTCAACACCCGCGCTATTGGAGCTCAAAATTCGGCCAAAAAATGAATGATACGTCTTGGCAGTCTTAAAATATTGGCTCGGCTTGCAAATTTAACGGTCGTTAAAAATCATTATCGGCCACCATGTTTTTTTTTATCTGATGCTACCAAATAAACGCGTTCCGCACCGGTTCACGTTGTCCATCTTCTGTATAATTTAAGATTAATTCGCATTGTCTTTCGCGATATACTGCGCATGTGTTTATCTATTGTGCTTGTAGTCGAACCGCTATATATAATACTAAGTACGTTATGACTTACGAAATTCAAAAATGAGCAATTAGTTCTGCTAGCGATATGTTATTACATAACGACGATAATAATTCTGAAGTTTTTTTTCCAAAAATAAATGCGCACTTGTGTATATACCTACATGTGGCGTGAACACACTCGTTTTAGTCTCCTCGATTTAACCCAATACAATTATATTATATTATATCCGTAGCACATGAACCTATACGAGTTACGAGAGTCACACTTCTCCACGGGGCATCTTGCAGTCAAAAAGCAGTGGGAAAGGGGTCGTAAGGTTTCGGGCGAGTTTCGTTTCGAGCACGTATGTACGCGGTCGGAGTTTTGTTCGTATATGTTCGTGTATATATTCGCCGCGCGTGCCACATCCTTCAAAAAGTCTCCCGATCAAAAACAAACGGAACCGTCGTATATTTAAAGCTTTTTGGCTCCTATTCCAGACATACTTTGTGAATATTTGGCATCGGGCGTTGTTGGCCCGAATATCCGAGGTTTCCGTTTAAAAACGTACATGCGGACCGGCTCGGCCCCGGGCGGCCGCTGCAGTGGTGGGTATGGTGTAGTGGGCTAACGGGGAGGTGGGGGCTTGGATGATTTTGGCCAGAAAACGCTGGCAAGGATTATTATTGAAAAGTGGCCAGATGGGGTGGAAGGGGCACCGATTCGGAGGCAGTATATAGAGAGAGGGTCACATCGTCGTTTGGCAATACGATTTCGAAGTTTGGCAGCTCCAGGAGTGCGCGTTCCCAGATAAGAACTCAAAATTTGGCACTCCGCGGCGCGGATAGGTGTGCGGCTGCGGCGTTAGGTGTTTTCGGGGAATGCGCGCCGCGTATTATCGTGTACTTAATCGTTGTCGATGGGGCCAAAGTCTCTGTGCGTATACAATGTACGCGGTGTTTGTTTGGCAGAGTCCGTAGTTTAGAACGTCGCAGCGCCCCTTATTTATACACGACGACAACACGTGTGTAACGCGGAGTCGATAGAATAATAAAAAACGAAACTCCCGGGGACCAAACGTACAGTTTATAGAAGGTAACATAATATTGTGACGACACCATTTCCTACTGCATCTTCACGCTGGTCTCCCGCGGTGCAATAGCGCGTGTTGCAGTGGATTCCGATAATTTTACCGTTGTTTTCAGAGTTTTCTCCGTATTTATATTACACATACAGCATATTTACACGCGTATATACGATGATGTAGGGGAGGGTGCAGCTATCAGCTGATGATCGTCGGCTGGGACGAATGTTCGCGGTGCTGTGGGATGGTGGAGGTAGAAGGGAAGTACGCGTGTTTTCCGGAAACGGAAAGAGAGACGGCGAAAGACCGCCGCCGCGCGGAAGAGAACGAAAACAACAAACCGTCGACTTTTACTACGCTAACCCCGCGCGCTCCACACCATCCTATCAGCCAACGTTCGACGGCGCGTTCCCCCCTCGTCACCGCCTACTCTTCTCTCCGCTTTGGATCGCATGACCTCGCCGTAATACGGACCATGCTTCCCCTCTACCGCCTCCGCCGCACTCACCTTGACACGGTTTTCATTCACTCTTGTGTGTGTGTGTATGTATATATATACACTTCTGTATAGTTTATATACTATGTATTATATATATAATACATACTACGGTGTCTACAATACTATTTACGTGCCTATATGTATATACTATATATATACCGCCCCTCTCGCGTATTTCGGTCCATTCATCGTATATATACTCCATGACTGGCTGCGTGTGTTAAAATATCTCCGCGACCTATGCGCACATAGTCTTTCGGACAATCGTTTGCCGTTCGTCCGATGCTATACCCGTGTTTACAGTACACCTAACCGAACTGTAGAAGGGAATAAAATAATACTCCAAGCGGGCTATGAGAGCGAAACGGTATTATGTAACGTCTCGCGGATTGGACGCTTGACGGAAAGAAAAATATTTATTTTTTTTAAGTAAACGATATTGCAAAACAAATTATACGAAAAAAACTGTACCCAGATGTGTGTTTGTGTGTGTGCGTTTGCGGCGCTGCGGCCGGAGAGTCCCATAAGTGCCTGCTGGCAATAGCGCGGCGGTGGCGACGGCGGTGTGTAAAGTATCGCGCCGCCCCTCGGACTAGAGATCAATACGCACCGAAAACGCGTGTGCACGGTTGGTGTCTTTTTTCCATCGTTATTACTATTATTACTGAATAGTGAATACTTTAAAAAAAAAAAATGATTATTATTCGTCATCGCTTCATGTCCCCCTGACGACATCGCTGCTGTGCGCCGACGTAAATAATATTATTATCATCACGTTTGTTTAGTTACGCGCGTCCGTGTCGGCAGAGAAAAAGGATTTTTCGGGTCCAAACACCTAAAAATATGAGTGGTAGACCCGCCGGAATACATTTTTTTCTTATATATTTATCGATTTTGGTTGTTTTCCGTGTCCCAAATCCTTTCACGGTCCGTGTCGACCGTGGTCGAGACCACATGTGTGTGTGTATATTGTGTGTGTAGAATACCACCTCGTCGTATTTCTCGGCGGCGATGCAACGTTGCCGTTTGTACACGTCCGTAACTCTTTTACGCTGTCATAAATGTATATATTATTATTGTATGTGTGTATATAAAAACGCGACGGTGGCGTCGTCGACGTCGTCGGTCGCGGGTGCAGTGGCGGTGCAGTAGCGGCCGCGGCGGTGGATGACGACGACGGTCTGTTGGTGGGTGGGTGGGCGGGTGGTGGTTGGGTGGACTGGGGTACGATGGCCTTGACACGGCAACACGGCCACTGAACCTGTCCGCCGCCGCTACAGCCGACACGACAATAATGACGTCACTTTTGTTGTTTTTTTTCACTTATTATTTTTTTTTTTGCTGTATATAATAATAATATCATATACGCACACGTACGTGTCGTGTTATTACGACAATACGTGCGCGTGCGCGTGTGCGCTCACACACGTCTGATATAATAAAATATAAATAAACGTACACGGTCGCGCGATGATCTGTACCGGACGCGTTGTCATTCCACCGCGTGTGGGATGCTGCGTTGCCGGTGCCTCACGCACGAGACACGCACGCGTCAAGGCCGTCCACCGACGAGATCTCCGGGCCTTATTTCGTGTGCGTGGTGTTATCATTACGCGTGCACCGCACGTGGTCTCGACCGTTGGTGGAGGGCGCAAATGAGGCTTCCCCGGAGGAGTACGCATATGCCACAGCAGTTGTGGTGCGTAGGGGTGGTTGAGTGTGGTGGTGGGGTCTCGGGAGGCTCGTGGGGGAAGGTATCTCTCGGTCGGGGACTTTTCGAACTCCAGCGCACGTGTGCGTCGTCTCTAGGACCTCCGTCGTATTTATATGTCATATGTACCGTTGGAAATCGTTTCTTGTATATACACGTAATATAATATGAAATATATAATTACCGTTCGTATATAATATGAGTGGTGGTTTTCATGTTGAAAATTCCATCACTCTTTGCGACGAAGAATAGAGGAAATTAGATCTCGACCGCCTCATATAAAATATATATTATGTGTATACAATGCTTAGGTATAGTATTGTAGGGTCACGTATTGTAGTTTTTCCTTTGAAGTGCACCTCAGCGACAGAACCTCCCCCACCCCACCACCACAACTCATCCCCCGAACAGCCACCGATCGGACTCTGTTGGGCGTGTATACTACAGCCCCATGTATAATGTTTTCTTTTATATACATGTATACAAAAAAACTTTTATGTATTGATTAACAACGCAGTCATTTTTCATTTGGTCTTTCACTAAACTGTCGGTTCTCCAAAATTCCTCGGGTCGTGCCGAGTGGTAAAGTATATTGTATATAATATACATTATACAACAGCCCTGCAATGGCATAGTAAAAAGAAAGGAAAAAATATGGCTTTGGAAATCCGTTGGTGTCAATCTTTGTATTGTTTTATAATCCAAGTAATAAAGCCGCACCTCGTTTTTATTAAAGCCCTAAAACAAACGTTGAAAATTTAATGTCCCCGTCTCCTTTCTTTTGCTTTTATTGCCGAGTTCCGAATAATTTACAATGTCGGATCAATAGTCCTTCTGGGTCTCCTGCCCGTCACAAATCCCCCAGACAAATGCATGTGAGAATCGCGTGCGTACAAGTATTATTACAATACATACATATATATTATTTACGTATTGTACGCGCAGTACCTATATATATTTATTGTAATATGCTTAAAGAGGATTTTTCGCATCGTCGTACGCTTGCGTATATTTCGTTTTATCATTGTTGTTTCGTATTTTACAGCACCGCGGTGCGTCTCGTATCGTATATCGGTATCGTGCAAATCTTTCTTAATGGTTTGAAGTTGCATATTTTCACAGCGCCCCCCTCTCCCGGCCACGTGATTATAATACACAATGTATAATATTTGTATTCTACAATTTTTAATATTGTTATATAATAGACGATTAACAAGTGTGTTTGTCGTGTTTCAGGATTCCATCTGAGTGGTGTGGTGTGGAACCAGAGACCTGGATCGCCGTCGTACAACCATCCCGACCAAGAGAACAAAACACACAAAGTGTCAGTCAGCTTCGACAGGTAAAATATGCTTAATATAATATACTGCAATCTGCAGTATAAGTATACATAGGAAAATATATTTTAGAATACGACACAATATCAAAACTATTACAATAATATAATCAAAAAATCGTTTTAATATTTTATTAAAATATACGTGTATATGACCATATAGGTATATCATGTGAAATTATATGTTATATACTATTTATCATAATATTTTAACTTCGTCGTATATTATATATAACATACCGCAGTCGGTTGTGGTTAAAAATATATCCTGTACATGTAATAAATATTGTAATGTAGGTACGTCACTGTGTCGTCCGATCATTTTTTTTTTTTGATTTTTTATTGTCTACGCCTACTTTTAAATTATAATATATTATTATACACACAGATAGGTTTGCCGCTTAGAAATGTATCCGTTTCATGATTACGAAAACAAAAAGGATATAGGGGAACGACGACGCGCTCGCATATATATTGTGTACATCCGTGTAATGTCACGTACATATTATTCTCGTGTTCGTATTATATAATATTCACATCATTTAATACAGCTTTATATATTATGTGACATTATGACACTGCAGGGTCAGAATGAATGCAAAAAAAAAATAACTACGTCGTCCGCGGCACGTTTATTATTTTTTCAAAAGGCCATCATTTTGTTATTTGCGTTAATAGTTTTTTATTTCTTTCTCGTCAACAATACTTAAATATTGCATAATGTATAAACCTAACCTACTTGACAAAACCCAACCCTAGGTGAGGTTTGGTAGTAGATCACTGCGTCCGTTCGTGTCGGGTTTGAAACGCATCCTTTTGCTCGGCGTCGTCATGCAGTTGAATTTTAATTATGTTCTCGTAGGGCAATCGTTTCGAACTCCAACTCAATTTAAAATAAGCGTGCGCAGTGCGGCAATGCGCGCGCATATTATAGGTATTTGCTCGTATTACACGTATACGTTGATTTACCATTTTGTATTTTCACCGTGTGTCGTTTATTATTACATATATTATTATACTAAATACTTAATACACATAAATACGCGGTTTGCATGTGTTCGGAACGTTCTATTTTCAAGGTATAACGATTTTACGCGAAGTCTATCCAGGAAAAATAATGTTTAACACGTGAACAATCTAAACTATTGTGTGCAAAAGTATTTTATGAAAAAGACTTTAAAATAATTTTTATTGAAAACCAATAATTATTAATTATATTTTATCTTCGTCTCACTCGGTCAAATACCACTATTAAACGAGTTGAGAGAAAACCTCGTATAATCCTAATCTTACTCCTAAGAGCTGTATATACAGGTATTGTGAACAGTGTTATTTTTTTTCTGTTACGCGACCATTTCGATTGCGAATTTAACAACGTTTCTTTGTTTGATTTGATTTAATGGATATTTTTTTCTTTCTCTGTTCATGTACAGGTGCAAGATAACGTCGGTGACATGCAGCTGCGACACGAAAGACATATTCTGGTGCCCCCACGTCGTGGCCTTGTCCTTGTACAGGATACGGAACGCGGACAGTGTCAGGCTCAGGGTCCCGATATCAGGTAAACAATATATATAATATGCATTACGTTCGACGGCGAATCCATCGTAAATTTTATAATAATTTATTATATAATTTAACAATGATATGATAATACTATTATTGTTTTGCCACGCGGAAGTTCGTGCTATTCTCGCGGCGTGTGTATGTGAATTTTTAATGTAACATTAGTACATGAATGTCCCGTAATGTGTGCGACAATAATTATATGTTATATATCATTACTTCTATAATATACACGTTATACTTGTGACGCCGAGGAGGAATAAATTATATTATACTATAAATAAAATTGCGGACACGTTCGATTTACTGAACGATGACAAAAACAACAACAATATAATGATTTAATAATATTATATTATCATAGTATAATATTTATCTTATTGTGGTGTTCACACGCGAAATGTGAAAGTCTTCGAGACAATATCAAAATTGTCGGTTTGCAATAATTATAATTACGAACAATACCCGGACCAGTGGTTGTTACGACTGCTACCTAGGAAAGTACAGCTATTGTTGAACGGAAAACTGATGTCTCTAGGTTAGAAAATCAGACGAAATCGTCTCAGAATCAATTCATCAATTCATAGAGAACCGTGAGTTTAAATCAAACCCATGATCCTATTCGTAAATGTAAACGAGACTTAATAAGTCCCATGTTTTGATCGGCACCATAGTATAAAGCAGTGGTGTGCAACCTGGTGGTCACGAAATTTTATTAGGGGGTCGCCAATAATTTTACACCAAATTGAAAAGTTATACTAAGTAAATTATGTTATAGGTTTTTCATTAAAATAATTCATAAGCAATTTTATTATTTAAAAAATATTAAAATGTTGACAATCATTATAATATAATTGCAGTAGTTTTTTAATTTTAAATTTTATATAACTCTAATTTTGTATTTTTTTTCATGTTTTGGATTAATTAAATTAAAGAAATATTAAAATTAACGATTTAATTTATATGAATAATATGTTTGTATACATTAAGACTGAAGTAAATATATATTATTCACATACATAATGTTAGTAGGAAGAGGGGGTCGTATTACCAAAATAACCCAAAATAACCCTTTGGGGGTCATGGATCAAAAAAGGTTGCGCACCACTAATAAACAAAACAAAATAATACATATAATTTTAGAAAAATAAATGAAACAAAAGTATATATATGCAATAATATAACAATACAATACCTATATTATGCAATAGCGTAATAGGATGGCAATCGAAATCACTTGTGAGCGTATACAGGGAGACATGATTTGAGTAATATATTATAATATTTTATAATTACTTTACACATATACTTTATTATACTTATTACTTACTCTGTGGTGTGTCTTTGGTTTTCGATCGAATGTCTAGAAAATTGGTGAAAATGTATAACTGTTGCCCCCACAGGCCACAACAGTCTTTCACCGGAAAGTCCGATTTTCCAGGTCGTGGATAGCATATTTTATTTTCCTCGGTAGGTACATATAAAAATAATATTCATATGAATCGGTATGTTGTATAGAATCTAAAAATGTCTGTATTCCCCTTCAATATCCATACAATATTTAAAAGTTTGTGTCTTACTTTGGTTGTACTCTTGTCTCTTATACGCTGTGACGTTAAAACATATTTACAGTTATTTTATTTTTTTCAAAATTAAATTTCAAATACTAATATTGCCATATTTATTGTATCAAAGGAGAATGTATTTGTTTTAAAAAAACCTACAGAAAAAGTTGGGTTTCAACACTGCGATTCATATACATAATAATAAATTTCATAAATATGACGAAGTTGTGCACGTTGGTAACCCTGGGTATGGATAGTAATAGTTTTTCATATTAAAATGCTAATTTAAATACCTTCGGATGTCATATCGACTTCCGTAGTTGACAAAATACCTATAGCCTATATACCTATAATATTATATCTACCCACGTACATATTGGACTGATTAAACTATCGAGAGATTTATAGCTCTAAACAAGTTGACCGACCCGGACTAGGTTCTTTTTTTAGGATAACTACTTTGTAACCACAAATATAATATAATATAAAATGTACGAATAAAAATTAATTTCTCCTCAAAAATGCAAATGTTCAATAAATACTTTTTTAGTTGTCTACTCAGATATATTAAAGGAGATTTTTAAGGGAAAATTGAAGTGTATTTTTTTCGTTTACCCGTGCGCTTAAAGAATATTATATTATACGATCGAATCTTTTTTTTCTTGAATTTGACGCGTATTTATATTGATTATTTCACATTTTCAACAGTCAATTGATTCCTTTTATACTATATACGTATACGCACCCACGCATACATATTCGTATATATATTTTGTATATACATTATACATAGAACATTTACTTTTTGACACCCGGAGACTTGTTTATTCGACTGAAAAACGTTTTTTACCTCCCTATCCCTCTACTGTCGCGAACACCGTAAGTCACAGAGTGAGAAAAATTGTTAGATTTTTTATTTCGAAACGCTGCCGGAGGTTAATAAAATGAACTGTAGGGAAAAAACAACAACAACCAAAACACTTTTGATTCACTTATGAAATAGATGTTGCGTAATTGCATTTTACTGATCGTTATAAAAAAAAGTAACCGCATCAAAACAAGCCTTTAAAATTCCGTTTTTAAGACGTTTCAGTTCGGTGCTCATTCGTGGCAGCGTGGCACGGCATTGCGGCGATGGGTTACGTAAAACTTATGATACACACCCGGACACATGGCGTAACGCCCGTGTAAACGCTACCTATGAATTTTTTTTCGACAATATATTTTTCTCGGAGATGTCAATGGTACATTGGTTTTAACCTCAATGTTTTTTCCCATTATTTTTCGACAACAGAATAGATTGGTCACGGGACCAAAACGAAACTGGCGAATCCAATATCCTTTTCGAATGGGAGCCATCGTTTTGGAAAATAGAATAAAAACAATTTTACATTTCTTTTTCAGTATTTTATTATTTATAGGTATTTTTAGAAGTATAAATATAATCGGACAAAATACCTGTTGTCGCCAAAAAACGTGGAAAGCGCACGAATGAAAAAAATAAGTAGCCGTTGTTTTGGTTGTCTCTTAGCCATCATAATATATAAATATATGTATATACACTATGCTTCTACCTAAATTAAAACTCGTGTGAGGGGCACGTGTAACTGCGATGTAAGAAGTTAGATTTACGAAAAAAAGTCTTGGTATGATTACGCAAGTCGACAATCGCATAATAAACAATATATTTTTTATCGCATCTTGGCCCTTGTATGTACACCCATTTAGAATCATGATGATCGCCCTCTGAGCTGCAGGAAAATGTTTTTAAAAAATTTTTATAACGCCATTAAATTTATATAATATCTAGGTACATTTTAATGCTCTACAAACTTATAAAACAATTTTATAATAGCCACCAATGTGGTTGTAAATAAAAAGTTTTCTTAATAGGTAATATAATAAAAACTGCTTTTAAAATATTTTAAATATACCCCAAAAAAAAAAAATGTGAAGTGTATTAATGTTATGTAATAAATAGTCTGAGTTTTCTATTTTGTGTAGTTTAGTAGTTATATAACATATTATACCGATTACCTACTTAAAACTGTTCATTTTTACATATTAAGAAGATAATATATAGTTTATTCAACTGGGTTACGTATTATCAATACCAATTATTAGTTGATATTTACAGTTTACTAATCTAACGTAAAAAAAAAATGTTGTGACAATCTTCATACAGTTTGTATAATTAATATACTAACATAAATTAATAAAAAATTACTAAATAAAATTTATATTAATATTAGTTACAACATTACGCAATATATTTTTTAATTAATGGTTAATTTAATATGAACAAAAAATATTGACCTCATAAAAAAACTTTGTTAATACTCAATAGTACATAATATTATGATCTAATAGATTCATTTGTTTGCTTTATTTTTTATTGAAACATCATAATATGCCAGTTATTGTTCACAAAATTTTTTTCAAATACAGCAAATTATTGGATGAAATTGACTTATCATTAACGCATCTCACTATTCTTGTAATGTGATTCAGCTCATTCATTTTCTTATTGTTATTGATTTGGTAATTTTGTAAAATCACTCACATTCGAAAGTCATAATATAGTTTATTGATTAAAATTATTAACTTTAATATATTTATTTTTTTGAACATAATTCTTCTATCATATGGTCTAAAACTGGATTGGATGATGCTAATTGTATGCACTGTGTAGTATACTGAGAATAAAGGTATTACCGGCGATTATAAAAAGGTCCAGAAAATATGGGCATTAAAAGGGTACATTTTAAACTCAAACCAATTTAATTTTTAAGCCAAAACTACGGAATACTGTATAACACGGTTCGGATTCATTATGTAATATTTTTGGTCGATATAATTCCTTAATTACTTCTGTATTGAATAATTTATAAATTGAAGACAATTTCTCTGTACAAAATGAAATCAAACGAATTCAAAAACAACGAAGCACACATTTGTAAAAATAGTACTCAATCACCCAAAAAAAACTGAATTAAAAATCGGTTCTACCAATTTGTTTAGGTTATTAATGTGTTATGAATTGGCCTTATTTAGATTCTTGGAAATGCTAAATGATTTTTAATGATACATTGAAACTGCTAATAATTATTATAACTACTCACTAATTTTATAGTTTTTTATTTATTTATTATTTATAAATATAAAAATTGGAAACTATATTTCATTACAAAATTATATGACCTTAAAGAAGGGTCGTGTCAACCTTTTTTCCCCTGTCTGCTGGGCTTGAATTTACCTGCTTTGGACATCACGTTATACTTAAAATAGAAAAAAAAAATTGGTATTGATTCTGAAAGACATTATGTTGTTACATATTACGACAGCAGATACTTAGAAAAATGTCTTTTGGCCACAACATCATTAAAGTTTAAGTAACCATTTTCCAAGAAAAGTTTCTTTGGCTGTTATGTATTGACGTGTATTATGCAAATAGTAAATAATTGTACTACGTATTGAGGTTACTTTGAATCGCCTAACTTATGATTATGGGTTAATCCACCAGGCACCAAACTTATATAATTTTAATTTTTAATTCAATGAATTAATATAATATTTATAGTTGAATTGGATTGAATCTACCCCACTCAATTATTTATGTATTTCGTTAATCGTAATTAAATAGACAGAAAGCACAGAGAAGTCTTATAACATAGATCACTGTAAATATTTAGTTTGAAACAAATTTAACCACATTTAAACTTTTGAAATGAACTGCTTTGTATTTAAAATTAAATGTACAATACGCAAGCAAGTGCGCGTGCATTTCAAATATATAGTTGTTTTGTTGCTGTCGGCGTTATGCATAATATCCGATAATTTATTATTCTATCGCTATGACACAATTCCGTGAAATCAAATAAGTAGTTTAATTTGTTAGGTTAGAGTAGCTTATGTAGCACTATATAGGTACTGGAAATATAATAACACCACAATTTTTTATCGTTTTCCAGAAACCTTGTTGCAAATGGATCGACAACAGTTGCAGAAGTTCGTGCAGTATCTCATATCCGAACACCACACGGAAGTGTTGCCCACGGCCCAGAAACTGGCCGACGAGATCCTGCAGCAGCGTTCCGAGATCAATCAGATTGCCGGTGAGTCGTTGTTGTTTACACGATAGTATTATAATATTAAGTTACACTCGTTTTATATCATTTATTTATATACAATTTAGAATAACACCTTAATAGTTTATATAATATTATACAGCGTTCAAGCGGGCGATCGGCGAGCGCACACATTATTTTGTACCGTCCAGTCTGGACCGCATACATAGTCCTCTCCGCCGCCGCCGCTGCCCGTATTATACGTACATTATTATTTTCTGTACGCATTTATAACACTGTTGAGGAAGTGTATACACCGCACGGAATATTATTTGTAACTACGTTCGTTCTACACATTCGTCCGTGTGTGTCTGTGTTAAAATGTAGAATAGAAAATACGGACGTACGACCGAAGTGTGAGTGTGTGTGTGTGAGCGGGCTGTGTAGTCGAAAAAAGAACTTTAATGGCCTGCGCCCGAGAGTTGTGCCCGACGACTGCAGCGCGCACAAAAGGGGAGTTCCATTTAGTTTGACACCACCTGTCAGCCGTGAATAATGTATTTAAACAAACAGAAAAAAAAACAGTAACAATGGTCCTCTTTTTTCGATTATTATTATTATTATTATTATTGTTGTTCTGCGGTGCGATCATCGTCGGGATCTAACTATCCATCTATCTGTGGACCGCCGGTGTACACTATCATATTATTTTCATGTCCTTCGCATCTACGGACGATTTTTTATTCCACGCACGTCGTCGTTATTTGTGTGTTCGCTGTTGTTGCTGCAGTCGTTGCCTCCGAAACATACGCGGGAGGGACACGGACGTTTTTTCATCTTCGTTCTTTTTGGAGAACAAATTAAAAGATTTTATATATATATATGTGTTTAATAACGGTTTTCGACGTTGTAAAAATAATATAATATGCTGCACACACGGTGCAGTCGTTATCATTCCATCATTCCCTACTCTCTCGGCACCGGTTTATTATGTATCCGACGAAATCATAATTTACTTATATACTGGTCACTGGTGTACCTACAGTACTCAGATAGTTGTGTTGTTTTTTTTACGAGCAATGTACCATAAACGTTGAGATTCCTAATTAAGACAAACGCGACAGTAGCTGTGGAATGTGATAATACCTATAACAGTCTAATATTATTTACCTGACTTAATAGTCCTAGAATGTAGATTTTAATACAATTGATTACATTTTTATACTAAGTCCAAATTTTAAATCATTGTCGCGTAACCTGCACGGAGGATCCGATTCAATAAATTATGTTTTTGATGATGTAAGTCTAAAAAGTCAATTAATTTCGTGTATTCAATGAAGGTGCGAGCAAAAATATTGAGTTCTATATTTCATAGACGCCACAACTAGTGCTTTTAAATTTTCCTACAGAATTGTTGGCTTTACGGGAAATCCCGGCTGATCACACCTTATATCACGGAATATTATTTACGGTTCTTTTTTTTTTCAATTTGAGTATAATAACTGACTACAAAACCAATAATAATGCATATATTATATTTTTGAAGTTAACGCCACACGATTTGAATCACAATTCGAACAAATGACTGAAATAGTATTCTGCGTCTTCAATTCCACTTGTCTTATATTTGGTATTATTGTACAACATGAGAACCTTGGTTCAGCTAGATAATGATATGTTTACTTTGGGTGTATTGATTTTTAACTTGAAACATCAATATATAGTACCTACCTAGCAGAAAGTAGTCTATCGAGCAGAGTTTTTAGGAGCAAAAACTTACCCAAAGCGGAAAGAAATATCATAATACCTAGGTATAATAAAGTTTATTTGACTCGTTTTATTGACCGCCAACCATATTATTGTATTCGCGTATACAAATTAATGGGGTCCATTTACAATTATACATCAATTTATGATTATATTCAGCGGCGAGCGCAATTTATTTATTTTTTATTCTCGAAACATTAATTTCAAACTTCCGGCCAATTTAATGATTAAAATCGGCGGTTTCTCCAATTTACTTGCGCAAGTACGATTGTTTTTAGTACACCAACCATTGCAGTCATTGGGATTGTCTATATAATAATAACTACTTAATAAGTTTTGTTCCGGGCTGACTTTTCAATAATGTAACTATGGTTGTAAGCGGCCACTAAATTTAGTACCGACCGAGGATTTGTCGTTTTTAACAACTTGTACATATTAGGTACTATTATTATTATTATAAATAGAAACCATAAACCATAAATTGATGTTTTTCTGGATTTTCACCGTGGCGTGTAGTACATTTTCATGTCGTTTAAATGTATGAGGGGCTTGTATAGAAATAGCACGTTTGAAGATTTTTTTATTTTGAATTATCAAGCAACTGTCGCGCCGCAAGGGGTAAATCTATAGAATTTTGATGTTCCTGTATGTACGAATAATGGACAAATATTCTCGACTATATTACAAATTGAACTTCTTATGCCACCCGCCGTGCGTGACCTAAACGTTGTGCGGGGCAAATGAAAAGAAAAATGATTTTTGGTCGTGTATCGAGTAGATATTGGACGGATGGTTTAAAATTTGATAAATGAACAAAATTCCGGAAAGCGGTCCATTATTACTGCTACATGCAGTACACGCGTTGTCCCTCTGCTCCTCTTCGATCCAGATGTCTCAAACGAAAACCATGTATTACTATTTATTGTTTCTTTTATCTATACCAGACGCACGCTACTATGTAATAATCTAATACATAATGTTAATATAATTATACGGTTTTTATTGTTTTTTTTCACTCAAGATCCAAGATTATAATGTAGATTTTTTACTTGATAATTAACTATTGTAGGTACTGTATGAGTATTATATTTATAGAAACGAAAATATGCCATTAAATTGAGTAATGTTGGCATCCGCTGTTTTATCTCAATATATGGTACTTGAACATATAATGACATAACCTACATAAATTATTTTTATTATCTCGGTTAATACTTAATATTATGTTGTATAGGTATATATACTTATATATACTTCCTTATATATAATAATGTAAATATTAAATATATATTTAATATTGAATAAAAAACAAAAAATGTTTTTTAATTTTTGTTATTTATTAATTTTAAATTGTTTCTATCGATATCGGCCATCGGGTTATCGGGCCTATAAAGTTCGTTTCAAGTAAACATCACTTAGTTGTAGATAGGTACACCATATAGAATATAGTAATAATTTGTTGTGTTTGTATCAAATTTTGTTATTTAATATAGACTGAATGCGAGCCATCTCCGTGTTTAACCTACTTTATACAAAACCGCCGTATACGCATACTGTGTATTATAATATTCGCCTGTAACCTATAACTATATCGTGTTATAATATAGTCCTGACCTCCATAGTACAATATATAATATAATATACCTATATAATAATATAATGTAATATTGCACGAATAATCTCAAATTGCTCACAGGATAATATAATCACGTATAATGTATTACTATGTTATACATAATATATATATATATGTATCATATGTATATTGTATACACGCTATTAATGGCATAATATTACTATAATAGGTTCGTCAGTAGAAATGACGTCGTATTGGAGGACAAACGATTTATTTATTATTATTTTTTATCAAATGAATAGCGTAGGTACCTACGTACATTTCGAAATTTCAAAATATCGAACTCTCGAATATACGCCGCTGCAGAGCTAAAAAAACTATTTGCTCTCAGTACTACATAAAATAAGGGTTAAACACTTAATTTGTTTGTAAATAAGAGAATTTATGATGCTTATAAATTATTATAAAAATAGTAAAAAAATCTGAGCGAAACAAATAAAAAATATTAAAAATGTTCGATGCCATATTATCACGATTACTATATGCATTCATATATTATAGGCTAATAACAGAAATGTCTTAGAAATATCTTTCCTAATGTTATATTCAGGTGACTTGGTTTTCAAGGGGAACGATCACACACATTTCCAAACACGGTTATTATCGTATACACATCACATACAATTCTATACTCAAAACCAATTTTTGCAGCAAGGACGGGGTTATTCAATATTATTGAAATAAAAACACATGTTAAATGTCTAGCTTAATCCTAGAAAATTACAGAGATGGTTGAACCCTGAAACCCCACCCCCTACACAGGTACGGTCTGCACACTTATAGGTACTTGTATCATATAACCATCAATATCGTGCATGTATATGAAACGTTTTTTGAAATAATTTTTCCATTTTTCCTGTTGCATCGGCGCATTTCCGACGCGAAGGGTGGCATATATACGACGACAAACAAACTCCCGCGACTATAATGTATTTATTCGCACTGGCCGTCCCTACGATCTCCATTTCTACTATTAACTCGATTTTGTCAGGATCAAGTCCTTTTAGAAAGCACCCATTAGTTATCCAAACAATAACGGTCTGACCGAAGTATTTAGGTTCATCATATATGGAAGTAAAAAGTGGCTTATGTGTTTTCGGATAAGACAAGACCTTCTTTTGAGATATAAGTCATCCTGTCGCATAATATAATATGTAACTAGTAAAGTATTTTTTTAAAAATTATTTTCAACACTAAACACTTTTTATCGTTATTGATTCTGATAGCTGTCGAAATTAAAACGGGAAATATTTATAAATCATGATAATATATATTTAGTGGATTATTAGATAATTTTTAAAACACGTAAATTATTTAGATATTATATCATTACAACGAATTAAAATTAGAAGTTTTTGTATAGACTCTACCTATTAGTAATTATACACTTTCTGAACGCGCCTCATGTATCAATAAATAGTACGAGTATAATTAATGTGCCACGAGAAAAAAAAATGGCATCACATTCATATATAATATGTGGACTTGGCTAAAAATTAATTCAGCTCAATTTAAAAGTAGATCTGGCATGATAAAACTTGTAGCTGATCAGTTTTTAATTAGAATTCAATTTTGTAATACGTTTATATGAAAAAAAAGTTTCGCAATTTAAAAATAAAGTATCCGCATCTATATAACTTTTTTT